CATGATCCGTGGCCAGCGTGGTGTTTCCTGATTCCCACCTGTCCTTTCTCTTCATCCTGTGTGTCCCCCTCTCCTCTGTCCCCTCCCCAGCCCTACCCGCCCACAGGCTGCCCTTGCAAATGACTGGGGGTCCCTTCTGTGCAGGGCAGATGCCAGCTCCCCTTAGGACTCCTGCTCTTCCTTGCTGTCTCCAGATCTTTTCTACAGGAAAGTATGCTGGCAGAGGAAAGTTATTTGCTACCTAGAGCTCCCTCTGCTGATCCACGGGGTGGATGAGTGCCTGGAACGGCAGCCTGTGTCAGAACACAGCTGGGTGTCTGGCAGGACAGGGCACCTACCTATGTCTGTGCTTGGATCAGAGGCTGTTTCCTTCTCTTGGGTGGAGTGGGGGGAGGCGAGGTACAGGTGATGCGTGTCTGTGGCCTCATGTGCTTGGGGGGAGGCGGGGCTGGGTGTGTGGCTTCTGGCATCCTGGCTCCTCTGACCTCCACCTGCCCAGGAATCATGGTGCTTGCATGTGCTTGTCTGAGAGAACCAGAGGTTCCTAGCGATGCGACGGTGTTCTGTGCGTGACCCTCCCACTGACACTGCGAATCAGGGAGCCCATGTTTCTGCCTTCTGTTTGATGCTGAAGTGAAACCGAGGGGGAGGTTTTACATTTTTTAAGAGGAAAGTCAGGGTCAAAACAGAGCCTGCGTAAAAACAGGCTCTAAGAAACCAAAAAGAAACAGACACATTACGATGAAGGCAGGTTGAGATTTAAAAAAAAAAAAAACAACAACAGCAACAATCCACATATTTGACTACATGTGACTCCTTGGCTGAAGTTTATTTAAATTCAGAAGAAGGCATGTCAGGCCCTACCTCTCTGGTACCTTCTGTCAGGAATACTTGAGAGAAGGGGAGAGCCTTTCTCTACAGACCAGCCTGCTGCCACAGCCAGGCTAACCTTCCATCAGTACTGACACTGGCCGGTGCCAACAGTTAGTATGAAATATATGGCACTTTGTTTCATACCGTACCCTGATCCCATGCCCCACGGCAGCCTTAGGATGTAAACATTATTTCTCTTTGCCTTTTACAGATTGGAGAACTGAGGTTCAGTAATGTTAAGCAACTGCCAAAAATCACACAACTAAAAAGTGCCAAGATGGTGATGGGTTCTGCCAACTTGTAAGCTCCGATACACGAGCGGGTGTTCATTCTATGCCCGAGGTTTACTCCATGTCCTGCACTATGCAGAGTGCCAGAGACAGAAAAGATCCTTGCTCTTGGGCATACTGAGAGTGTTTTATCAAATTGGAGGGTAGACGTAATGCTGCTTCCTCCAGGCAGCCTTCCCTAACTACCCTTTTTTCCCCCCTCTGATACCTTGGGGCACTCATTGACACTGCCCTACTGTTATTGACGAAATGAACAATACCTTTTATGGCGTATTTACTGCGTTCCAGTCTCTATAGAAAAACCCTTTACATGGTTTATCTCATTTAATCCTTATAAGAAATCTGTGAGGAAGGCCCTCTTATCATCCCCCCCCATTTTATAGATGAGGAAACTGAGGCATAAGGAACTTAACTGACACGGAAAACCTCAGATAAAAAGCAGCGGAGCTGGACATCTGTCTGATATCTCCTTCAGGGTGAAGACCTTTCTTCCCTGATTTCCCCCCCAGCTCCAAGCTTCACCCTGGGCACACCCAAGAGCTCAGAACTCCTTGCTGACTGATCTTCTCTCCCCTCATTTGAAAGTGATGATCAAACAGGATTTGGGGGTGGGGATGTGGAGGGAATCCCACACATCATTGGAACTTCCTTAGAGCTCTGGCTTTCAGTTAATGTGAGAGTAGGAGCCGTATTTAAAAAGAAAAAATCCTTAGGGAATCTTCTTCATATCTATTTTTCTCTTGCCCAGCATGGTTCCTGGTGCATAATAGGGCCCAATACATCTGTGTTGAATGACTGAATGAGCTTTAAAAATTCTAAAGGGACTTGCCACTGTTGCTACAGTCGCTGCCACTTGCGTACTCCCGCCCTGTCTTCTGCATCAGGCTCTGTTGCAGATGCTTGAGGTGCTGTCGGTCTCTCTCAGGGGAGGAGGAATAATCTTGGCGACCTCAGGAGCTTGCCTTCCTGCCCTTCTATCTCAGGTGATTTTTCATCCTGAAAACCTCACATAAGCTGTTTATGGCATCCATAACCTGCCCAGAGCTTTTAAACCTCTTTCTTGCATGGCTTTTTATGAGTTGAGATAAACAAACAACTCTCTCTCTCTCTTTCTGTGTCTCTCTCCAGGGACTTGGGGGCCTGGATCCTTAACCTTACTCTTTCAGCCAGTGGCCTCCAAGGGAGCTGAACCAGAGCATGGGCCCCAGAGGACCATGGTTAAACGTGTCACGTGCAGGAAGCAGATAACATCATTGTTGCTTAGAGGAAAAAAAATGCAGCAGAGGCCTTGAAGCAAAAAAATGGGCTGGAGGGCGTGGATGCCGAGAGTCCCCAGGGCAACCTCTGCTGGGATTGGGAGTCTCTGTTTAGAGCCCGAGGAAGGGTTCTGGGGACACGACATGATGAGCTTGGGGACCATCTCATCCAGTCCATCATTTGGCCTTAAGAGAAACCAGAGTCCTTGGAGGGGAGCGCCTTGCCCAAGGTCATGTAGCATCAAAGTGGCCCCATGGACTAGATAATGGTGCCTGCCTCCCCTGTACCTGTTCTTTTCTTCCCATAAGACCCTGATCCCTATAGAACATCCAGGTGGTTACAGGAACACTGGCTGCTCCCCAGAGCCATCAGTGATATATGGAACCTTGGCCAGGCTCGCAGAGAGTAGAGATGGAAAGAGAAGGAATTCAAAGTCATAGTCCTGAGTTGCAGGATCAAACCTCACCTGATGTCTTTACTCTGAAATATTCAGTTATATGAACCAGTAAACTCTATTTTTAAGACAGAATAGAGGTTTAATTCCTTACAACCAATATATTCTCTAGTGATAAACAAATGACAGAAAGCCAAAGAAGCCTCTGTTCTTCTGTTTCACTTATGGTTGGGTGGGCTGAGCCCAAAGGGACTGCCCCTATGTCTGTTCAGATGTCTGACAAGACTGGAGATACCCTGAATGCTGAGTCTAGTCCTCAGTGTAGAATCCCCACTAGCTGGCAGTTTACACCCTCAGTTCAGGGAAGTGGGTTGGCTTGTGATGTGAGTCCAGAAAGCATTTTCTAGGTGGCCTCTACCACCTAGCACTCTGTGCACATCTCTAAAGTGACACTGACCTCATGCTCTTCAGTGCCCAGCATCTGCATCTGGATCCCCCTTTTGACCCCAAGCTTGTTGAAGGGGAGACTGAGCCTTACTCACCTTTGGGTCCCTGCACGTGGCCCCGGTGTGACACAAGTTTGATGTGTGTGGATTCTTGATGAGTGGGTGAAACCATCTTTCCCCTCTCTGCCTCTTCTCTGCTAGATCCTGTTTATTTCTCCACTTTCTTCTCTTTCAAAATGAGGATGAGGTTTATAGGCACAGCAGACAAGATGCAAGCTCCCCCCAGTCCCTGATTTACAAGCTGCGGGTTTGATCTGCTATTGTATTTTCCTATGCTAAGGCCTGTCTGGGAGACCGCCCCCCCTCCCCCCCGGCCGTCCACTCTCGGTGTGTTGGGGTAGTTGGGTGAGAGGACGAGGGAGAGAGACTGGAAAGACTGAGTCAGAGTAGGCTGGGGATGAAACCTGAGTCCATTGGGATGGTCATTCTGAACTCTCTTTGACAGAAAGGAAGCTCAAGCCCAGGGAGGAGTCCTCCTGGCTCAAGGTCACTGGGACAGTCCAGCCCAGATGGGAGAGAACTCCACTTTTCAAGGCAAGACCCATTCCCCCAGGAGCTGAACCCTGTAAGGAAGGGAAGGCAGGCTTTAGGTTGGATTGGAGGAAAGACCTAGAGGACGGCTCAGGGACCAGACTCTGGACCTTGAAGCCATTAAGGTTGAGAAACTCCACTGAGTCCCCCTTACCAACTAAAACACTTGCTTGCCAACTGGGTTTGGAGTCTCTTGGCTTGTTCGTCCTCAGGGACCAGAGAAGTGACTCAGGGAAGCACTTAGGACGTCGTTGGCTCTAGAGGGTGGGGTGTGACTCAGGAGTCACTCACAGAGAGTCATTCATAGCCTCCTCCCTGCCTCTTCAAGCCAGGGATCCAGGGACCCGCTGTGTAAGACCCTGCCGTGGTTCCGACACTCCTGATAACGTTTCTCACGTCTCCACCTGCCCGGCAGTCTTTGTGCCCGTGGAATATACCTGGGCTGCAAACTCCAGGGCGGGGAGCCCGCTCCGCTCAGCTGCCTCGTGTCGGCTTCCCACACGGAAGGCAGGATCTCAGGACCCCCAGATCCTCCTGACCTCCCCTTGATTCTGAGCGCGCCCACCCTCACCCAGAACTCCCCTGCTTTTCTGCCCTCGCCCCTTTTCTCCGCGGGGAAACGGTCCCCCTTTCCCCCACCCCACTCCTACTCTTGCCATGGGGGGTGTGCGTCCTCTCCGCTCGCCCCCACCCCCTTCCTTTCCCTCCTCCTTTTTCCTCCCTCGCTCCGCCCCCAGGCCCCGCCCCTCGCCACCCCGGCCCGCGTTCCGCACCCCCCACCCTACCTCCCCGCAAGCCCCCAGCCAGCCACCACCCCCTCCCCCGGCGGAGGGCTGTGGGGAGGAGAGCCCCGCGGGCCAGGCGCCCGCCCGTCCTGCGCGCCCCTTCCCCGAGCGCGCGCGCCCCGCGGCCCCCTCCGCGGCCTCCTGCTCCCCGCCTCCCCGCCTTCCCCTCCTCCTGGTGACGTCCGGGTCCCTGCCCGTCTGAAAACTCCGCGCCGCGGCGGTGGAGGCGGCGGCGGCGGCGGCGGAGGAGGAGGAGGAGCAGCGGCGAGCCGAGGCGGCGGCGGCGGCCCGAGCGCGAGCCCGAGCGGCAGCCGGCGGCCGCGGGAGCCGCGGGGAGCGCGGGGGCGGCCCGGAGCGCCCGGGGTCCCCGCGCCCCGCTCGTCCGCCGCGCTCCGAAGATGGTGGCGGCGCCGTGCGCCCGGAGGCTGGCCCGGCGCTCGCACTCGGCGCTGCTCGCGGCGCTCACGGTGCTGCTGCTGCAGACGCTGGTCGTGTGGAATTTCAGCAGCCTCGACTCCGGGGCCGGGGAGCGCCGCGGGGGCGCAGCGGCCGGCGGCGTGGAACAACCGCCCCCGGCCCCGGCCCCGCGCCGGGAGCGCCGGGACCTGCCCGCCGGGCCGGCTGCAGCCCGAGGCGGCGGCGGCGGCGGCGGAGGACTGGGGGCCCCGGCGCGGGCGCGGGGAGGCGGCCCGGGAGAACCCCGGGCGCAGCAGCCGGCCAGCCGGCGGGCACTGCCCGCGCGGGCGCTGGTAAGATGCCCTTTCGGCTCGCGTCCCAGAGGGAGGGAGGGAGGGTGAGAAGGAGGCAGCCCCGACCCCAAGCTGCCTCCCCCCTCAGCCTTTGAACCCTGGGCATCAGACTGGGACTCCCCAAGCCTGCCAGCTCCCCATCTCTTTCCCTGGAAGCTGGGGCGGGGTCCCTGCCGAGGCTCGGGGGGCCGTTTGGGCTGCCCCATCCCGAGTCTTTGGACTGCCCCCTTGGGGTCTGGGGAAGTTATCTCCAGAGGAGGCGCTTTGGGGGTTACCAGAGCCTGGCTGGGTTCCTGTTCCCCGTCACTCTTGCTGGGCGCCCCGACTTGCACTAGGCATGTGGGTGTTGGTGCCTCGCTCACTGTCTGAGTGCGTGGATCGTGCCCGGGATCCTCAGCCGCTGTTCATGGGTGGTGCTCACAGCATCTTTCTGGTTTTTGCTGAGCTGAGTGCAGACAACTCAGTGCCCTGCTTGCTGTCTTTTCCTGGTCTGAGACATGGTATAAGATCGGTGTCCCAAATCCCCAGCCGGCTCCCTGAATCAGGATTCAGGCTTGGGCGCCTGGTCTTACTTTAGATCTCCTGTCTGCCATGTCTGTCTGTCTGTCTGCGACTCCTATCTCTACCTCCTCCGTCTCTAACCTTGTCCTCTCCTGGTGCCCTCCCTGACTTTTCTCACCAAGCTGTCCAGTGTCAGGGCATGGCCCCTTCTCCTAGATGGCTGTCTGGCTCTCTGTCTTGTGCCTAGCCGGTTAATGTCACCAGCTGTGTCTCTGACCACATCATCACGACTTTGGCTCTTTCTGGGTTTTCTTTGCTTTCCTGGGGTGTGAACAGTCTGAGCTCTGAAACTGGTTTTTCCATAGACCTTCCTGGGCCACCTGGTGTCCTCCTATCCTGTCCCCAACTTCTCTAGTGATGTCTTTGACACCTTCTCTGGGTTGCCTTGCTGAGCCCACTGAGCTAGGACACACAGGACAGGAGGTCAGAGTCCTCAACTCTGGGACTGGCTCTCTGTGCCCTGTGGGTGTGCGTGTCTGTCTTCAGGAATAACAATGCGCAGTGTGTCTGTCTTTATCTTCCTTATGCCATTTGCCTACAGGGGTTCTCCTAGCCCCTGGGGGACATCAGATGTCAGGGGTTAGTTTCAGAATCCTTTGGCACTGAATGCATGTCTGTGTCGTTTGTCGCTCTGGGAGCCCTCGCTGAAGATTACCTTCAGACACAGCGTGCTGCTTTCTGTTCTGTTAAACTTCTTTGAAATCAATGGTGACCCGCTTTGCCAGAGTGCGGCTCTTTGTGCCCCAGGAGGTGACGTGATGGCATTTCACGTTGCTGGTTGTCTGCGTGGGTAGCAGATGGACATCTTTCCCTTGTTTGTGGGGAGGGGAGTGGAGGGAGATTCCTGATGGAGAACCAGAACATTCCCAATGTCCTGTGGCCTTGTAGTTCCAGAGAAGGGTACTCCCAGACACTGCCTTTGAACTCCTGGGCTGAACTGTTTGGGCAGAAATGCAATTTGACGTTGGTTCTGGATTTGGAGCCCTACTGGGAGGTGCAGTGCCGGGGTGGGGGTCAGCACGTGCACTGCTGGCCCAGAGTGGGAAAATGTGGGCTGAAGATGGCGGCATGGGGCTTCCTATACCCTTTGCATCTGGAAATCAGACAGGCACCGGGAGGTGTATCTTGGGGGCAGAGACCACCTGTTGAAATAAATGGCAAGAGGGAAGGAGGCCTGGATTTCTTCCTGGGTCCTGAACATTTTGAGTTCTCCATCCATTCCGTCTGTGTGCGCTCACTTCGGTATCCTATTCTCGCGCCTCCCAGCCCAGCCGCAGAGAGGTTTGCAGTTGGGAAGGTAGGTGGGAGCGTGTCGTTTCCTTTTTTTATTCCTGTTGGCATACCCGTTCCAGCAGCAGCAGAGTGGCACTGCTTTTTGAAACTCTGCTTTCATCTGTGGGCTTAATTACTGTCCCCTGCCCTGGGTCTCCCCAGGTGTCAATTTCTTCACCTTCGGTTATAGACATAGCTTTTTTTATTTTATTTTATTTTATTTTTTGATTCTCCTCCCTTCTCTGAGGATGTCTGCCGCGCTGTTGTGAACTGTTCTGTCCCTTGGATTTGTATTTTATTTTATCTGCTTGTCTGTCTCCTCTTTTCCCTGCCCCATTTCTACCCCCATGCACTGCTAGATCCTGAAATCACAGCGCAGACATGCTGGAGGGATCCGGGGGTCTGTCTTCCTCTAGCCGTGCCCACCCAGCCCCTGCCCTTCCATGGAGCTCAAGGAGACCAGAAGGGGGCAGGCTGTTCCCAAAGTCCGACAACACGCCTGAGCTTGGGCTGCCGGGCTGGGAGGACCAGACCTTTTCGAAAGCCACTCAGGCCCTTGCAACACGTGGGCTGTCGGGGCCCGAGCTGCTAGCACGATGCCTTGGAGGATAGATTCAGAAGTGGGACGGTAAAAAAAAAAAAAAAAAAAAAAAAATCCCTGTGATTTTCCAGATGGCTCTCTCAGAGAGCTGGTGAGACACATGCTTGGGACGTGATACTTCATCTCTGTGCTCTCTTGAGGCTGGGGTGGGGTGGGGTGGGGCAGGTGCAATTCTTGCAGGCAAAACGAGTCTGTGGCCCCATTGGTGCTGCTGGGGGTGCTGGTGAGTGTGTCCCAAAGAGTGTCCGGCAGGCACTGTGTCCAGAGCGTTTTCTAAGCAAGACCTTGCTGCTTCCTTGTGCCCACCGTCCCAGAGTCTCTTCACTTGCTGCCTTTTTTGTCTGGGGAGTGGCGCCCCAGTAGAGGGACCTGATTGTATTTCTGGTGCATTTTAAAGAGCCAAGAAGAAACATGCAGTTTCTCAAGCAGAGTCAGAGACAGCATGAGGATAGTGACGAGACGGGCATATCTATCAAAGATTTGCAAGCTCCTGTTTCCCTCTCCACCTCTTCCAAAGCTCTTAAATATTAGAATTATCGGGTGGCTTGGAGCAGAGTTGTGGCTGAGACATCGAGTCCTTCACTGGGTCTCCTGTAAGCTGTGGCTTTGACTGTCATCTCAGAATTCAAGAAACAGATGGGCTCACTTCTAAAGGGAGGAAACACACTGGGAGAGTGTCAAAAAGATCACGTTCTAGGTTCTGGAGGGATTGGGGACAAATGAAAGAGAGCCGTGTGTGTTCACATAACGGACATTTATTTTCTTTCCCTTCACCTCCTGTGATCCTCTCGGAGTCCCGTTTTTTCCTTGCGCCCTTAGATAATTTGCTATCCAGTAAGTTTCATTCAAGGAGCGAAATTCTTCATCGCCCTTCCATGCGCGTGCATCCTTAACGTCGAGTGGGGTTTCTGTATCGTCTGACCCCGTGGAACTGTTGATTTTTTTTGGCAGAAGTTCCTCATACTTCACATTACTCAGATAACTCAGGACTTTTTCAGACGTTGGCAGTGACTTTGAAAAATTAGTTCACTGTATCCAGATCACCTCTGGTTCTAACGGCCCGAGAGGTGTGGCTTCTCAGAGAGACCAGAGAGAACAGAGGGTATTTTATTGATGGCTGGATTTTCTTTTTTTCACACTCTCAATGGGGTTTTATTTTGCTTGAGCAATACATTACACTTTGTATACAGAAATATGCATCATTGAACAATATTTATCTTACTGCAAATGTTGCCATCTGCTTAATCATATACTGGAAAATGCTAAATAGAACAGATAAATAAAAGTAGAAATTATTAGACACATAGGTGTATATATGTAATTGTATATGTGTACTTTGCCTTCCTTCCATTTCGCCACACTCTAGATATTCTCTCTCGTTTATCAATTCTTTTTCTTTTTAATCTTCTCCAAGTTTATGTGACAAAATACTTGGTGTTTTGCAAATAAGAAGCCAAGGCGTTAGTCCCTGTTTGCTGGGGCTTGTCCAACTTTGATCCATGGTCTTAATAGGAAGGGAAATTTGGTGTTTTGAACTGAGGCATCTGACATTGCACATGGGTGCACACATGTGTGTATGTTTCCCCAGAAAACAAAGTATCCTTAAGAATATCTCTGTGGGGGTGCCTGGGTGGCTCAGTCAGTTAAGCGTCTGCCTTCAGCTCAGGTCATGGTCCCAGCATCCTGGGATCGAGCCCTTCATCGGGCGCCCTGCTCAGTGGGGAGTCTGCTTCTCCTTCTCCCTCTGCCTGCCTCTCTGCCTGCTTTCTCTCTCTCTCTCTCTGTCAAATAAATACAACCTTAAAGGAAAAAAAAAAGAAGAGTATCTCTGTAGTCAGGAGCTGTCCTCATGCAGACTGTTTATGATCCGTGGGGCCATAAATTTGTATGCAGAAAGACAAAAATCCATGGTGCCACCATCATCAGACTGCACAGTGTGTGTGGTGTAATGGCTGACCTTCTCTCTGTCTCTTGGTGAACACTGCCCTGAGTCTTGTCCCTTAGGAGAATGCTCCCCATTTTCTTTGCATTTCTCCCATTTCTGTGGACCCTGGTCCCCATCTATCAGTACCAAGAAGAAAAGATCTCGGGCAAAACTAAAAGTCAAACATAAACTCAACCCCAGCAAAACCCGAGTTCGAAGGAAAAGGCATGGGAGCAGGAGGAAAAAGTCCTGGGAAATGGGTGCCAGGCCCCAGTTCCCAGGAAAGAGACCATTAAGTGTCTTTGCGTCTGACACAGCTGGGTTCAAGTTGGGCTGTGCTCTTGGCCATCTCCATGACCTTGGGCAAATCCTTCTGCTCTGCTCCTCTGACTATCCGAGCTACTGCCAAAGGTCATGTGAGGATGAGATGTATTAATACATGTGAACTGCTTGGGGCCTGGCACACGAACACGCCGCAGTGTGAGCTGTTGTTCTTGCAAAGAAAATCTTAGTATGTTTGAAAGTAAGCAATTTTTTGCAATTATTCATTTTCCCATGGAAAGTTGGCTTTGAGTGAAAGCCAAGGCAGGAGAGTGAATCCAAGGCCCGGGAGTGAGCTCGCCTTGGAGCAGGCTAGAATGT